TCCCCCAGCAAAAGTAATCAGATAACCTGATGTTGACTTCCTTGAAGCATATCGACGTCCGATATCATTGGATACGAGAAGCGTTGGATAAGAAGAAATTGAAGATAGAGAAAATCCATACAGACTTAAATTGGTCTGACATGATGACTAAGTCAATACCAACCAAGAAGGTTGAAGATTATTGTCAAGGTGATGATGTCATGGTACCTTCCAACTAAAGACAGGATGCAATGATGGAATGAAGGATGGAATACCCATTTTGAGTTTTATGGGGGAGTTTTGTTGGATAAAACCAAAAATGGGACCCATCCACATGCTGAAATAAGGGTCAATGTTTTCATATACCATATATTGAGGAAGAATGTCTTCCACCTTCACTAAAGCTCCATAAATTACTCCAATGCACCAACCATGTTTCTTGTCCTCTCGGCAATCGTTCTGTTGAATCTTTCAGCTACGTCATTCATTTGAGGTGTCTTGGGAGGTACTTTCTCATGTCTGATCCCATGAGTCTTGCAATAGTGCTCAAATGAACCTCTATACTCTCCACCATTATCACTTCTCAAGCATTTCAACTTTCTACCAGTTTCACGTTCAACTGAGGCATGAAACTCCTTGAAGATTCGTAGAAATTCATCTTTTCTCTTCAAAGGATAGACCCACAATTTTCTAGAGTGGTCATCAATGAAGGTAACAAAATATTGAGCACCACCAAGGGACCTTTCGGATGTTGAACAGACATCTGAATACACAAGATCCAAAATATGCTCTCTTTTTTTTCTATTATAATATTTATGAAAAGATACTCTGTGCTGCTTACCTACTAGGCAGTCTTCACATAATTCAAGTGGTTGTCCTTTTATACTCTAGAGATGATCTTTCGCAAGGATCTCTAATCCTTTCTCGCTCATGTGACCCAGTCTTTTGTGCCACAACTCCTTACTTTCTTCTTGAGCAACATTTGTCTCTCCTTTGCATATCTTTCCTTGTATGACATACAAAGAGCATTCCTTTTTGCCACGAGCAACAATCATGCTTCCTTAGCTAAGTTTCCATTTTCCATCTCCAAACTGGTTGTTCATTCCAGCATCATCTAGCTTACCGACTGAGATAAGGTTTAGTCGCATTTCTGGCACATGTCTTACCTCCTTCAGCACAAGTTTGTTTCCATTTTCTGTCGTCAAAGTCACTTCTCCTATGCCCACAATTTTGCTTGCGACATGATTACCCATCTTCACTATTCCAAAGTCTCCTTTCTGATAGGATGAGAAGAATCCCTCATGAGGAGTAACATGGAAAGATGCTCCGGTATCTACTATCCAAGTGCAGTCATCAAAAGCAATATTTAGATAGTTTACCTCAGTGATAAGGAACACATTCTCATCATTTGATACCACCGCTGTTGTGGTCTTTTCTTCCAACTTCTTTTTGGGATCTATCACATCAGGGTGTATAGTTCCATTCTTCTGATCTCTTTTCAGGAATCTACATTCTTGCTTCTTGTGGCCATCTTTTCCACAATAAAAGCATGTCAAACCTTTGGAACGAGACTTGAATCTTCCTCGTGACTTTTCACGTTTTCCTTTACTTTTGTGTTCACTCCTTCCTCTATTGTCAACAACGTTGGCTTTTGAGTGACTACTCATTCCTCTTTCTTTCCTTCTGGACTCTTCATTTAGCAAACTGTCTGTAATGTTATCCAGCCTGAGCTTTCCATCTGGTGTTGAATTACTGAGAGTGACCACCAATGTGTCCCAACTCTTCGGTAGAGAACTAAGGAGTAGAAGAGCTTGTAACTCGTCATCTATCTTCATATCTGCCTTCATTAATTGGTTCACAATACCTTTGAAGGTGTTGAGATGCTTGATCATATTCAGGTCGTCAGAATACTCCAACTTTACGAGTCGCCTGACAAGGTGAGCTTTATTTCTCGAAGTCTTCTTTTGAATCATAGATTCAAGCTTTGTCCATAACTCATACGCATCGGTATAAGTCGATACATGCTCAAACAAACAAGCTTTTGTCGATGTATTTCCGAATCATAGCCACTGTTTTACGATTCAGAATCTCCCAATCTTTTTCGGTCTTCCCTTTTGGAATTTCCGGATTTGTGACCGGCTCATACAAATCCTTGCAGTATAGATGATCTTCCATCATCGACTTCCAGTAGGACTAATTATCCATAGTTAGCTTGAACATGTCTCCTTCCATCTTGAGTTTCACAGGATTCTAACTTTTTCGAACTGGTGGCTCTAATACCACTGTTGGGAAACAGCGGTATTTGTTCCCTCCTCCGCTAACCCAAAATGGCCACTATGCGGAAGCGTAAAAATAAAAGTGTATGCGTAGGGAAAAATAACACCGGAAATTTTAACGTGGAAAATCCTCTCGAAAAAACCACGGGACCTAGTTCAGAAAATTATCTCCACTATGAAAGTAGGATTATAGTGTTTCTCTCACTCTTTGAGGATCTCTCAATAAATCTCACCCTCTCGGATGGTATACAAAAAAACTCTCTTTCGCACACTCACAGTATCTACTACACAGTGTCTTTCACCTCTCGGTGATGTTTCTCTCTTCACGGTAGTACCCGTGGCTTTCTCTCTTTCTCCTCTTGAATTCTTTCTTCACCGTTTGATTCTTGGTGAGTTGTGTTTTGCTGCACAATTTGCATTCATTTTATAATGAATGAAGGAAGAAAGGACAAGAAACATGGTTGGTGCATTGGAGCAATTTATGGAGTTTTAGTGAAGGTGGAAGACATTCTTCCTCAATATATGGTATATGAAAACATTGACCCTTATTTTCAGCATGTGGATGTGTCCCATTTTTGGTTTTATCCAACATCAACCACTTGCTCAGGTGATGCATCTGCTGCTCCAAGTAATGGTTGAGAGCTCAAGGCAAAGAGAAGAACAAATGCTATCAGTATGTTCTTCATTATTTGTTTTGTGTGTAATTCAGATTATTATTTTGGTTGATGACGGATGGACCATAGTGGAGATGTGAAGTCTGAATTTATAGATGTCTTCGTTTAATATTAATTCCACCTTTTGGATTCTTTGTAGTTAGTACCATAGAAATAGTATATATTTTCTTTAAGTAATTGAACAATACCATTGGCCAAATCAAGTTGATAATTAATTGATCTGAAATCATGTAGCCATTACTATGTGTAAAAATGGTTGACATTAATGTTCTTTGTGGTCTTAGGATTTAATTTACAACCAAATGGAAACCATTTTGCGTCTCTCTAGGTGATGGATAGGATTTGCTGAACGATAAATGTTTTCTTATTGATTCTTTGGTCTGTTCTCTCATGTTGTTCATGACTAGATAAGTTGACTTTTTCAAAATGAGTAGGTAGCCCAATCTGTGAGTTAATGTTTAGAGATATAGTTCCACGGATATTCTAAAAGAGATAAGAAGAAAAATTGAGATAAGATGCATAATGCAATGAGTAAATACTATTTGAGAAAATATTAAATATCACTATATATGGTATCTCATAACATAATTTTTTACGCACTTTTAAATTCTTAAGTTTCGAGGCTCAGTAATAAACGAAGAAAAGAGTCTATAAGAAATATATAGTTTTCTTAAAAAAAAAGTGATATTTTGCTATATACAGCGAAAAAATAGAGTTCAGGGCACCGTGCATGTTAAAAAACAAAAGTACATCTAAGAAACAAGCTCATTGATGCTGACTAACCGCGTTTATAGTCCTCAGAGATTTAGACAGAGCAACCAGATTTGAAAGCAAACCATTGGATGATATAATTACTACAATACAATCTCCTCGAAAGGAATACTGGCAGAAGATTGGAGAAAGCAGAAACATATGAAAGCTGGCCATGGCTTAAACAGGATTCGACTTTCCCGCAAAAAACATTCAAATAATAGCAACTAAACATAAATTTGCCCAGTTTTTTAGTGAATTTCTTATGTTGATGGGTCCAACAGTATTAAGCAAATCAAGGATTTTAGTAATATAAATGTGGATGTTTATCCTGAATCCCATGGATAAGAAGCAGCCTATAAATTGATGCAAACCATCTTCCTAAACTCCATCCATCAACCAATATACAAATTACTCAAACCAATACAAAATAAACAGTGATGAAGACAACATTGTTAGCTTTTGTCCTTCTCTCTGCCCTGATTTCACAACCACTTCTGGGAGCATCTGAGGCTTCACCTGATGAAGTAGTTGACACATCAGGCAAGTTGCTACGTGCTGGTGTCAACTACAACATTCTTCTATCCATGCCTTACGGCAAATGTAGAATTGCACAAGGCCTTGGCCTCTCAAAGATCGGTAAATCATGCCCTCTGGATGTAGTGGTTGTGGAAAGATATCATAGTTTGCCACTAAGGTTTATACCTGTTAACCCGAAAAAGGGTGTTATTCGTGTCTCCACTGACCTAAACATCATGTTCCCTCCTAACATCACTTGCCCTCACCATTCAACGGTGTGGAAGCTTGAGAGTTTTAAGGTTTCTAAGGGACGCTCACTCTCGTTGGTGTCAACCGGTGGTGTTAAGGGCAACCCTGGTCGGGAAACCATTGGAAATTGGTTCAAGATTGAGAAGTACGGTGGTGCTTATAAACTGGTCTATTGTCCGAGCGTGTGCCCTTATTGCAAGCATGTTGAGTGTGAGAATGTTGGGATGTTTGTTGATGAGAAAGGGAATCACCGTTTGGCTCTAAGTGCTGTTCCATTCCAAGTTAAATTCCTCAAGGCCTAACCATAGAGTACCTCTTGTTGTGCATGAACAACTAAATGTTTAACTGTTTCTTATAATAATGTGTTCGTTCCATGTTAATTTGTGAGGATACCCTAATTATAGGTGATATCCTTGTTATGAAATAAATAAGTACTCAAATAATTAAACGAACAAATGTTTTCTTCTAATGAAATGAAATACGTTTTAAAATCAGCTTTATGAAATGAATTTCTTTATAGAATGAGTTTTTTCTTCTTCTTTTTCTTTATGTGCAGCTATGATGCCGATGGTGTGATGCAGTGAAGGAGGGTATTTTGATCTTTTTGTTCTGGTATGGGTTCAGTTAGTAATAATGGGTTAAAGAAAGTAACAGCCTTTATTTTATTCATATAGCAGTTACAACTTGCAACTGTTACCGATTTTCAAATTACGCGCTTCTTCGTTTCGTTCCATTTCATTTCACGTTCGTTTTTCAGCCTCTGTTTCATTCACAGATCATTCGCCGCAACGCAGGTTCTTCGTTAATTTGATTTTCTGATTTAAACGGTTCGTTTTGGTCACCATTACGCTACGCTGCCAGTTTCTGAGGCAAAAACGAATACCAGAAGAGCTCATTCCAATGGAATTTGAGGAAGCGCATAACAATTTCCTCGCTATAAGACTGTTATATAGACTTCTCGAAGATAATAGCATCGCCTTGCAAAATTCAAATCCAAAGCATGTATGCCACTTCTTTTTACTTGCATTACATTTTCCTTTTTACATATGCTGCCTAGTTCGTAGATGTTGTGTTTGTTGGGTCGGTGTAGAGGTTGGCATATATTTGATCAGTTAGATTCTGCTAATTCTACATAGAAATACTTACAGGTGTATCACATCTAGTATAAGTGATCAAAAAGTAAGAAACTTAACGATAATGGTATCACAAAATATCTGAAAATATATCGGTTATTTGGAGATTTTCTGAGTGTGGATCTCAGATATAACCAATGTATAGGTCCAAGAGCTAGGGAAAAAAGAGAACAACAGAATTTGAATGTCTGATTGAGTTTCGGAAATTGGAAGAAAGGCCGGAACGAAAACAAAGATAAAAAAAATATGAATTTAAGTAAAATATCCTCTCTTTGTAAGTGTAAAAGACTTTTTCATACTGTAATTTTTTGTTTACCTAGTTCTCCGTGAGTCTGGAGATATTCTTAGGAGTTTGATCCTTTGAACCAGTTAAGAGGTTATAAATAAATTACACTGTATTCAAATACTGATCGACTTTAAACGATTATTTTAAAAATGATACCTTTTTAAAGTGCATGATAATTAAACTCCAACATTATTTACTTAAGGAAAAAAAATTATCACATTGGAAAAATAAACGACTGACAGTATTTAAGGTGGAGCGACCTCAGTTGAGAGCTTTGTTCCCAATTTAACGTGACCAGTTACAGAATCTGAAAGAATTGTGTTTAGACTCTCTTTTTTTGGTTCTTGCTGTTGTTATTGATAGTATTATTACTAACTACTTAGAGACATCTGAGTGTTTATTGAGTGGTAACTCTTGTGACGTGTATTTTCGTTTGTTTGTGGCAGTTGGTTGAGTGGGCACGAGATTTATTGAAAAGTTTACTGGATGTTGCTGTTGAAAGTGTTTTTGAGACTCATTTAAAGGTGCATATATATGGTTCACCATTTTCCGATTGGACCTTTCTTTTTAGGAGTAAAAAGTTGTAAATGAGAGATGATTTTCTTCTATTTTTAACCTAATGAGTGGAATAAATTGAACTTTTATTGTAATGCTTCAAATTGTATAACTTACTGAACTTTAGGCAGTATAAAGAATATGATTTCTTTTACTGAAGCCATCCTTTGAATAAAAAAAACATTTCTCCAGTGGCAGGAATCAAATTCTCTAGTGAAATATCCAACTTGTAGTAAAATGACTTCAGAGAAGGATGAGCAGCCTCAGTTGAGATTAATTTCAAAGAAACAACTGCCAGAGCTGTCAAAGTTTAGTATCTCAGATGACGGAGGAACAAAATGTAAAACATTAGACTGTATAGATGAGGAAAGCAGTTCGATGCAACAGAATGCAGTAAAGGCAACAGGCCTGTCTGATGATATTGACAGTTTGCCCTATACAGAGAGTATCCATAGCAAACAACAGCAAAATGATGTAAACCCTTTATATGGTGATGGTGAAGATGCAAAAGAATCTTTACAAATGTTTGATTCAAAAGATGATGAGCAAAATGAAAAGAATAATGTAATATTGCTGAACAGAATCCATGAAGCGCAAAGAAACTCTGATGCTGCTGGACAGGTTGAACATCTGAATCAGAAGGGAGAGTTCTCTGATGATTTGGTTAATGCAATAAAAAGAATTGAGTCTCGGATTTTGGCTTTCCAAATTTGTTCCAATGTGATGGATTCCACTAAGAACAGTGCAGGTCATCTTACTACACTTGAAGCAGCAAATTCAGACGGTCCTGCAATGCAGAGAAACAGTGGAGTTTCAGGGAATCAGATGAGCAGTGGAAAGTCCCTCTTGAAAGGACATAGGTTGATGAGTCAAAAAACATTTAAATCGAGTTGTAAGGATGAAAATTCGATTTCTGAAAGTGCATTTGAGGAATCCCTTTTTCGTGGAAAGGAATCATTGAATCAAAGTCAGATGGCAAATCAGAACTATTGCCTTCAAAATAGTGCAGAGTCTGCAAAGAATATTGATGTACCGAAGCAAAGTAGTACCCAGATGGTATCAAGAGGAGAGTGCTTGAGCAATCATGAAAGAATTCAAAATTCAGAACGAAACATAGCTATAGATAGTGTGAAGCCAATAGATAGGTTAGTTAGCGGTGATGCCTATTTTGGGACTCGAGCTAGTAAGGGTATTCAAGGTTTCAGGGTCCCTTTGAATCAAGACAATAATAGTAAGAAACATTCCATGTTATTAAGTAAAACAAACAGGGAAAGTTCAGCAAGAAAAAATCCAGTGGCATGGTCTAAGACTGATCAGAATCCGAGGGAAATGATTTCTGAATCTTCCTATACTCAGAAGTCAGCTAGATCAAAGACCATTATTACAAGGAGAGAAAAACCACCACCTCATCAGATGGTAATGAAACCAACCCTATTGGATCAGAGATCCAGTGACATTAAGGTAAATTCCCATAAACATAGAGACAGGAGAAAGACCCTTAACACTAGTCATCTTGAACCACGGAATACAAAGGTTCTACAACAACATCTTGAACGGGAGGAATCAAGCTCAAGCTCAAGCTCTAAGTTTGACTCTGACTCTTCTAGCTGGAGTTCTCAGCAAGGTAGTGCCAATAGTAGTAGTATTGACTCTGAGGACTATTCCTTGTCAGATGGAACACAGTGTCCCTCATCAGAAAGGATGGTGGATGCTGCATATGAGGGCAGTTCAGAGGGGACTATCAATTCATATCTCGAGATGGATGATGACCCTTCTCCTAGATTAGGAAGTTTCAAATCTTATAGACATCACCATGAAAGATATCATAAGGAAACAACTGGAAGATTAAGGAGGCTGAAAAATAAGTTGGGACTAATCTTTCACCACCACCATCATCACCATCATCATCATGATGATCATGGTAATTCTCATTCTAGAGAAGGTCATGGACCTACTAAGTGGAATCACTTGCAAAATGTCTTCCACCATAAAGACAAGCATGGAGTGTTAACAAAAAATGTTGAGAAGACAAAGGGAGGGCCTGCTGCAAAAGTGTTGTCCGGAAACCAGGTTGGGCAGTTTAATAGACTTGCGGAAGGGGTACTGAGACACATCCGGCATTCAAAGAAACCAAAGCCTCCCAAGCTTGATGTGGTGAAACAGTCAAGGAATAAGTCACATGGACATAATCAGAAGAAGTTGCTTTGGTTGCAAATCCTTAGAAAACAACGAGGAGTGAAGATGAAAAACCAAGGCAGAGCTAAAATGGGATTTATGAGCCAAAACTCACTAAAGAATTATTGATTGATTTTGGTTGCGCCTAAGAATTTCTCATCTCACAGCTATTACCTTTACGCTCGTAGTATTCAAAACTCGTATCAGATTGGCAGAACAGGTATGTCCTATGATTTTCTTCTATTTTGGCTATGTTGAATGGAAGCTTTGTAACACTTGAAATTCATAGATATGGACCCAATGATGCAGCATTTTGTAACTGCATTGTTATTCGGATTTTATTAATATGTATTCATAATTATACTGGGTATGCTTGTTATTCTTGGTACTCAAAGCAGGGTCGTTGCATTCTTTGTTTATTTGAATTAGTTTTATAAGTTATAACTTTAGGTTTTGAGTATTTTTAGAGCTTCTTTAGATATTAACTTTGCTTTCCACAAAAAATAGATTGAGTATTTGAAGTTATTTACGTGTTTCTCTAAATCATTGTTTAGTATTTACATATTTCACTAAATATTCCAAAATGTCGTTTAAGGTAGCAATATCAACTTCAACTGTGGTCTAGACCATTCTTTCCAAGTTATTTTAATTGGTGATAGGATCTCTTGCTAATTTGTCTTCTTATGGCCAAAATTATAGAGAACAGTACAACAAAAAGCATGACACATTTATTTTTCTTTAGGTAATACAATTAGGTTCTAGTTCCCCAAGTTGCAACTGGATTGAATGAACATAAACAATTGTGTAATTCTGGAATTCCGTGTTTGTTAATTCCTTAATGAAATTATTGGGTACCCTAGTTTCTTAAGGTGTCAACTTTGACCTCTTAGTCTTTGAAAAGATTGATATATGTATGTATCCATATGCTTTTTAATATATAATTTTCCTTTATACTAAATGGCTAATAATCCAAACCTGTTCTTAGAATAATATAACACGTAGTCTCTGTCTAGATAGATAATAAAAGAGATACACACTTTGGTTTGGAATGGGAATGAACAGAGAAAAGTACTCAGGAATATTAACTCCAATAATTTACTCATCATCTGTGACAATAAGTTGTAATTCTATTTCAAACAGCAAAAGGTAAGTAGGGCGCACTTCAATTTTACAAACATGTAGAGTGCAGCTAGTGGAGAAAGGAATAAAGGTGAACATGCTTAATTTTGAGGACTATCTGTATAATCTGTTACATGTAGACTGAGTTTCATTAATTGTCCAGGCACTAAAAGCAGAATACAAAGGATAACATGAGATAGATTAGGTTATTGGTTATATGTTTAGTCCTATCATTGTTATCATTAAATTAATTAAGAGAAATATTAATAAAGTAATTTCACATTGTGTTCTACAATATTTTTCGAGTTGAAACCTTAGTTATATGAATTTTAGTATCAAAGAAATTATGTCAAAAAATAATAATTTAGGCTAAATATATTTAGGATATTCGTGTTAGTTATTATTGCTTCTTATGATACACAAATTTTAACAAAAATTTTCTTTGATAACTGAAAAAATATGACCAATTATATAAATAAAAAAGTCTTCTAAACCCAATACTCAATTTAGCACTTATGTGCACCAACAAAATATAGTGTATTATGTCTTAATTAATTATTATGGTTAACTTACCTTCTTTCAAATAAAAATGGAAATATAAATTAAAACAGTAGTTCATGTTTAATTTCTTTGACCAGTAATTGATATTAGAAATATTATTAGTGTTATTTTTAACAAATATTAATATTTTATATTTTATCACAATAAATGATATTGACATACAGATAAATATTATAGAAAAAAAGGAAATTTTGATTTTAAACTACAAAAATAAATTCATAAAATTTTTCCTTAAACAAAATTGAAACTACATACAATTGTAAAAAAAATAATTCAAAATTATAACACAAATCATTATATTTAAAATATTCATAAATATGAATTATATGACTATTATTCAAAAAATAAATATAAACAAAAAATATATAATTATACTCCGACATAAAAGTTATATTTTATATAAATTATCAATAACATAATAATTAGCGTAAATTATATCACCCCTTCTAATATTTACATATTCAAAGCATACAATAAGTACCAATGTTATGAAACCAATATTCAAATTGAAAATAATGATTATGCAAAATTTTACTAAATAAAGACTATAAAAAAAGTTAGAGTTAAAATATAATGCTGTTGAAAAAAATTTATATATATCCTTATAAATAAAATGTATTAAATCACCATTTTTTTATTATTGTGAACATGTTACCTTTTATCACATCATTTAAAAAAGCTGTTTTTTTACACAGAAGCAAAAGAACTAGTTATGTTTCCAATATTTCTATTATTTTAATCAAATTTACCATAAAAAAACAAAAATAGGATGTTGAATGAAATATTCCAAAAATATTCTTTATCCCGTCCCTCCTCAAATTTTCCGGCCCATGGGCTCAGCCAGGACCGGTGACGGTGTAGCCCAGGCCCAGCCCAAGCCCGAAACCTACGTTCCTGAGTTTCTGTTTTTCGTCCCTTGCATCACTTTGATACAGTTTCTGTCTCTTTCAGCTGCTACGGTCTCTGAACCTCCGTTGACGCTTGTAAAAACCTTCAGCAGGCTTCGTCTCACAGAACAACCCAAGTAACACTATAAACCCTTTTCATCAATTCTTGTGGTAACTATGCCTAGTTGTTTTTCAATTTTTTACCTTTTGTTTTTGCGCTACAATGTCGAGTTTCCTTTTAATTTCAATTTTCGGAGACAAAATTGATGCCAGACTCGCTCATCTTTGTTATGGGCTTCATGTTTTATGGTTGAATTTCAATTGTTAGAGGGTGTAATAGAGAACTAGTGATTCTTTTCTTTGTGGTTGAGATCTGTGACAGTTGAATTAGAAAAGTTTGAAAAAAACGACTGAATTTTGGTATTGTTGGAATTTGATGGTGGAGAATTTGGGTTTAAGTTAAAGAAATTTAGAAGAAAAAAGTAGGAAAAAAATTGAAAAAGGGTTATAGTTTGAATTGTAGTAATGAAAAAAGAGATTGACTGTTATTTAAAGAATATTATTGACATATTATAGTTACTTTGGATAACAAACCAAGTTGACATAAAACCATCTTTGTATTATAGCATATGCTTAAGATCTAACTACAGGCAACTGATGAACTTTGAGCGTGTAAAAGGGACGGGACCAGCCAAGGTTCCAATATCAACTGGATAAATGAACTCAACTATAGATGTCCACGAAAGATTGTATTTGAAGGAGCATATATTTGGGAAACCTAAAATAGATTAGAGACATATAGTTTAACTCTGGTCTAGACTAATGGTGCATTTGATGCTACAGTAGCATGCAAATTGTTGTTTGCTAATGTGTGCAACTATGGGAAACATGTTTGATGGTTGGTTTATGGTCTGATTTTTCTTGCAGAAGGTATTTTTTATTTTCTTGTTCTTTTTACCAGAGAACTTTTGCTTGCAAGACTTGGACTTTCTTTGAAGAATTCATCACATTCTGTTATGGTATCTTATTTAGGATAATTGAACTGTTAGTCATATCTTGCCACTTCTTTGGTGTTGAATTGCATATCTGAGTTGCACTTGTAACTTTATGATTTTATTAACTTGTGGAATTCAATGGCATATGGAGGAAGGAAATTTTAATTCAGCTAATACCTTATTGCTTATTTTCAAAAAGAAAAATCCACAAAACTTTAATAGAATGGTTTGGCTGTACTAAAATACTGAGCAGGTGAGTTTGTTTTACTTTTAATGCAATGGTTTCCGTGTTGAAGACTTGTTTGTTGTTATTGATGTATATTAGATGCCAACATTCAAGTTTTTGTGTACCATTTGTATGTGTCTGAGCAATGTTATTTGCATTTGAAATTATGAATTACTTTGCTAAGTTTAGTTCATATTTATTGAACAGGAGAAAATGACACATGAAAATGCAATAGGCATTGAGATAGATTATGAATATGATGATTGCAATAATTCCAAGCGCCCAAAAATGACTTCTAAAGTATGGGAAGAAATGCAGCGAATTCAAACCACCGAAGGCAGTAAAGTTCTGTGCAGACACTGTGGAAAACTGTTGCAAGATAACTGTGGGACTTCTCATTTAAAGCGTCATTTAGTGATCTGCCCTAAGCGTCCTAAACGTCTGGATGCTATTACTCGAGATTCAATGGCATCAGGGTGTTTTAGAGGCCCCAGTAGTGCTAGAGGTAAGCATTATCTTTACTCCCCCAAATGGATGTTATCTCCAACTCCAATTTTCTTTACTCATATAGTTGATCAATTTCTTCCATAATATTCTGTGGTAGATGGACCCAAACAAAAATCTGATCAATTAACAGTTGAAAATATTTTAAAAATAAGGTAGGATATGGCATCTAAATGGTTATAAGTTTCAAGCTTTTATTGTGACCATAGTTGATCATCTGCACATGAGTTTGTTAAGCTTTTGTTTGCCGTAAGTCACTGATAATGATGAACCGATGCAACATGTGGTAGCTATAATAGAGTAAGAAATTGATTTAGACAACATTTACTATTTGCTTCAATGCTAGATTTGCTATTAATATACAGCAGCTTAAGAAACATGATTTCCTGTCCTGTGTTTTTTGTTACATTTTGCATTTCTTCCAATTGAAATGTGGCCATGCGAGATTCTACCGTTTGTTCGTAAAGAACACATCTGGGTTACCTCTCATTATCACTGCTATATATACTTTTATTTTGTAGAATCTGGATTAACCACAGTGCTTCTGGTTGATTACCTGTCCAGTGTTTTTTATTACATTTTGCATTTCTTCCAATTGAATTGTGGCCATGCGAGATTTTACAGTTTGTTCGTGAAAAACACATCTGGGTTACCTCTCATTATCACTGCTATATATATTTTTATTTTGTAGAATCTGGATTAAACACAGTGCTTATGGTTCGTCCATTGAAGATCGAGCCTGAATCTCAAGTCCCATGCTTTTTTCCGACTTCAAATAATCGAGTTCCAACTATTGCATCCACTGAAAATGTTTCCAATTCCATTCAAGAACTACATGCAAAAACTAGTTCCCCTCTTATGCTGTCTACCATTGAATCTCCCAAGAATCAGGGGGAACTCACTCTGGATGACGTAGAAATGAAAGCATTTTATGCTTCTCTTGATGCAGAGACCTCGATTATGTCTCCTTCTCAAGATACCACAGTCGTTACTGAATTATCCAACTCCACACCCTCTGAAGAGACCAAGAAGGCATTGAAAACTCTGCAAGACCTTCTTTCCAAAGACTTCACTGATCTATTGCATACTGGACAATCTGGTACCATCAAATCCTCCATAGAACATCTTGCCAAGTTATCTGCAGACGATGGAATCTCTGCAGAAATGAGGTTGTTGATATTAGAAGTTTCTAGAGAATTCACTCGCTGGAGTTGTGACTACAATGATGCTAATAGGAAAATAGAATCCGCCAACGCCAACATCATGAAAGCAGATAAACTTGAAGAAAATCTTGAAGCTAACAAGAAGGAGTTCAAGGAGGTTTCGTCCTTAGAGAATGAATTAAGCAACCAGTTATCCTGTTTGGAGAAAAGGAAGAAAGAGCTAGAGGAGCAAATAAATGCAATTAAAGCTAACATTTCTGTTTTTCAATCAGCTAAGGTAACAAGTACAAAGAGAAAAAGGGAAGCTTTTGAAGAAGCAAAGATTCTTAAAGCTCAAAGAGATGAGTTGAAGGAACAAGTGCCTCACTTGAAAAATGAGTTGGAAGTGGCCAAGAAGAACCAAGCACATATTCGAGCTGAATGGTCAAAGCTTGGAGAAAAATTTAACAAAAGCTTGAATGGGATGAATCATGAGGAGAAATTGGATGGTAAATCCATGCAGGAAAATTCCATTTAAAAAACCGAGTTTCGATGTCAATACCTTCATACCAACTCCATGATGAGCTAAAACTTAGCTCTGATATTCGTTATACATCTGGTGAAAAATGAAACATTTCTATCATTGATTTCAATTTCATGATCTTATCTATAACAAAGCACATTATTTTGTTGGACGAAGTATTTGTCCTAGGCCTTCTATTTCAAGATATATTATTTAATTGAGCATGTGAAGTATATAATTATTGATTATAATCTGGTTTTAGTTTAACTTAAAATGTGAAAACATTGTAACACAAGTGTGTAACTAATTTTTTGTTAAATTGAACTTTTTGATTTGCGTGTGATCGTATTGTTTGATTAGTATTAGTAGACAAGAAATTTATCCGAGCAACATAATTATGTGTGTTATTTGCAAATTTAACTATTATCTATAATTACATAAATTTTATATTTTGATTTGTCTTTAAAAATTATATTTTTATGTACCATTTGTAATATTTGTATACATTCAACTTATTTTTAAAAATTTTACCGAATAAAGTCAGGAATTAAAAAGAATTAAAAAAACATATAAAACTAAAATGAATGAATTTTAGTTTATTTAGTTAAAATTCATTTTAGTTTAACTAAATGATTACTTATAAGCTTTTAAAGAATTGAAACATATTAATAATGAGACTTGAATTAAAGAAATATAAGAAATTTGACCTCATATTTTCGTACAAAATCTTACTGAATCAATTTATGTCTTATTATACGTCTTATTATGATAATGAGACACAAAGAATTTTTTGTTTCTACCAATATAAGCTATAGATTTACATAAGTGGTGAAAGTTAGTTAACTTGCAGCGGGGCATGCGATTGCAACAATTTGCAGAACTACATCGTGAAGAAAAGACAAAAAATTAATGAAATTGCAGCACAGTTGGTGAAAGCAGGAGCAAGATTGGTGATTGTCAATTGAAGAATACAGAGTGCTTATAGTGGTACAGTGAAAAGGATGTACTGTTGTATAGCAAGAACAAGAAAAAGAAAAACACTTTCCTTTCCTTGTATTTTGGGTTGATATGGGTTGGGTGACTAATATAGAAATGTGTCTTTTGTTATTTTGCTGCATCTTTTTGTAATGCAAGAAACAATTGTATTCATGGTGTTTTTCTTTCTCTTTGTGCAGCAACCTACAACTTACTTCACAAGTGAAAACCAAAAAGAAAAAAAAAAGTCTTCAAAAAAATACCATTGAAAAAAACAATTTTGCAGACAAATTTAAGAAATGGAAATGAGAGAAAAAAGTAACTCTTGAATGCAATGGCTTATGAAATTACATAATGCAAATGTTGTTATGTTCTTAATCAAAAGAATACTTGTGACTAATTAACATCTGAAAAAGAACATTTTGAGGAACGTGTTTGATTAGTCACTCGTGGTTCTTTTCTGTTTATTATATTCTCAAAATCAAAGTTAGAACAACTCGTGTCCCTCGAGCCAAATATAATACTAACAAATGAGAACAGAAGAACGAAGTATACTACTTGATCTCAAAACCAATCACCTTTAGTTTCATAGTTATCCACAAGCAATTTTCTACTAAACTCTAACTTTCACATGTCCCCATCATAATAATTTATTCAATCTCTATATACCTCGTGCTGCATAACCCAAATTTTCTATGCTACAGAACCTCCATCGAATCATTTCAGTATTTAATGATGCATTACGAGAATGTAACACACAAAGAAAAAGACACACAGACACATTGGTTTCTTAGTTTCAATCTGAGGAAATGAAGGTTGCCATGTTTCTTCACTTGCTCCTTCTCTTGGCCTTGAACACACAGCCACTTCTGGCTGCTGTGCCTGAGCCAGTGGTGGATAAGCAAGGGAACCCTTTGGTGCCAGGAGTAGGGTACTATGTATGGCCACTTTGGGCCGATGAAGGAGGTCTCACACTAGGGCAAACAAGGAACAAGACATGCCCTCTTGATGTTATCCGTGATCCTTCTTTCATTGGGTCACCGGTGGCATTCTATGCAGAAGGGCTTGGCCACATTCCAACTCTCACCGATCTCACCATTGATTTCCCTGTGTTCACAGTCTGCAACCAGCCTACAGTGTGGAGGCTCAGCAAGCAAGGAGCAGGGTTCTGGTTTGTGAGCACAAGAGGGAACCCTGAGGACATCACAAGCAAGTTCAAGATTGAGCGGCTCGAAGGGGACCATGCCTATGAGATCTACAGCTTCAAGTTCTGCCCCAGTGTGCCTGGTACACTCTGTGCTCCTGTCGGAACCTTTGAAGATGTCGATGGAACCAAAGTCATGGCTGTCGGGGATAACATTGAACCCTACTATGTCAGGTTCCAGAAGGTTTTCATGAATGGCCAAGAGAACAAACCCTCCAGTATTGTGTAGTTTGTGAGGTGTGTAGTTATAGGAGTTGTCACTTTGAATAATGAATAAGCCAGACGAAGAAGACTACAGAGAACTGGATTTTTTGTGTCGGCGGAAAGAATCATGGCACTGATCAGAAACAGTACTTGTTTCTGTTTTATGATTTAACACCAATATGCATTTCTTTCTTTCCAAATTAAGTGAAATTTAGTTTCTTTGCTCATATAGACTCTTTCATGTGCTTTATAATTTCTCTATGCAATATACTTAAATTTTTATTTTAAATCCATTTAAATCAAACTATTTTTCTCTTAATTCAAACAATTTTATAATAATATTTGTTTGAATTTAAATCTCCTCAAATCTATTCACAAATTTTTAATCTACTCAAATCTATATACAAACCAAAATTTATTTTCTATGTTCACATACGTTTTTTGACCTATGTCTCCTCTCATAATCGCAATTTAAAATATTGTAATACAGATAATTTCTAAGAGTTTAAATAAATATTAAAATATATTTTTAAATTAATACTTCACACTTTCTAGCTAATTATTAAGAAAATTACGCCAAAACTTGACATCCTTTAAAAATATCAAAATGTACTTGAGATGAATAAAGTTTTCTTTTAATTATGATTTAAAAATTATTTTACGATTTGTGTATGCATACCAACTTAATTAATTATCTGATGTGATTTTTTTAGTACATTAGTCTTTTGTTAACCATTTTAAAAATAAATTTACTATATTCTTTTGATATTTTCTGAATACTTATATGTGTTGTTGATAATTTACATTTGTAAGTGTGCTTTTAGTCTTTAGTTTTATTCTGATTGGTCATAAAAAGGATTAACACTACAGCTCTTTTACTATTTTCTTAGTATTATTATAGATATTGACATTATATTGCAGAATTTTTTATCCTTATATAGTATAAAATAGAATGATGTGTTGTAAGTCAAGGAAAAACGATAATTTTTCCTACTTTCTTATTACTAAACACACACATGTACCACCATTATCACCATGAACAATTTAAATTAAAGTCAGGTAAATAATATCCCAATGAAAATCAATTTAAAACAGTGAATATGAATAAAAGTTACATAAATTTGAAAAAGAAAATATCTTTTTTATAAATTTTAATTATCTATTTTTAAATAATTAAGTTATTCTTATAACTTTCTAAATTCAATATCTGCTATAGTTTTCTTTCCACGCAACATAAAAATTACCTATCTTATTACTGAATACGTTTTATTCAAACATTATTTACAAATTAATAAAAAGGTTAAAAACTAACTCAAAATACATTTGAAAGTGTCTTGTATACATGTAATTTTAATGATACAAGTTTTTTACCTTTTGAACTAATAAAAAAAATCCAAAATCATGTCTCGTAATAAAAAACAGATTAACATTTCTAAAGGATTAAATTGATTCATATTTAAGAAATAAAAGAGAAAAAATATTTTTGGGAAAATAAAAAATGAAAATGATTTTTAAGTTTAACGATATGAACTATGAAGCAATTTGATTCGATGAAGTACCTATCCTTGAAGAGAACACTGAACAGTTGTGTAAGCCTCGATCAGCTAAAGAGAATCCATGCACTGTGTGTGACACTGGGATTCTTACACACACAAAATCTCCAACAATCTTTGTCATGCAAGTTGCTTCAAAGTTATAAGAATGTCGGAAAAACAGAACAAGCGCAGAGGGTCTTCGATCAGATTAATGATCCTGATATAGTATCATGGACATGCCTCCTCAATCTCTACCTTCATTCTGGCCTTCCTTCCAAGTCCCTCTCTGCGTTTTCTCACTGCTTGCATCTGGGTCTAAGACCTGATAGCTTCCTTATTGTTGCAGCTTTATCATCTTGTGGGCAGTGCAAGGATTTGGTTAGAGGGAGGGTTGTTCATGGAATGCTGTTGAGGAATGGTTTTGATGAAAACCCTGTTGTGGGGAATTCTCTGATTGACATGTATTGTAGAAATGGGGTGATGGGGATGGCTGCGTTGGATTTTGAGAATATGGGGTCCAAGGATGTGTTTTCTTGGACTAGTTTGTTGAATGGGTACATGTTGTGTAACAATGTGAATTGTGCTCGTGAAGTGTTTGATGCAATGCCTGAAAGAAATTTGGTTTCATGGACGGCTATGATTACTGGGTGTGTCAGAGCAGGAGCTCCAGTTCAGGCTTTGGAGATGTTTAAGCAGATGGAAGGTGATGATGGGGGAGCTCTTCATTGTGCGGATTTGATGGTGGCGGTGCTCTCCGCGTGTGCGGATGTTGGGGCTCTTGATTTTGGTCAGTGTATGCATGGTTGTGTTAAGAAAAGGAGGCTGGAGCAGGATGTTGCGGTGAGCAATGCTCTGATGGATATGTATTCCAAAAGTGGAAGGCTTGACTTGGCTGTAAGGATATTTGATGAAATCTTGAAGAAGGATGTGTTTTCGTGGACTACAATGATATCAGGTTATGCTTATCATGGGGACGGGCATCTTGCGTTGGAGGCTTTTTGTCGCATGTTTGAATCAGGTGTTAACCCAAACGAGGTAACCCTGTTGTCAGTTTTGACTGCTTGTAGCCATGCTGGGCTTGTCGTGGAGGGAAAAGCGTTGTTCAATAGAATGATTCAGTGCCGTTACATGAAGCCAAATATTGAACATTATGGATGCCTGGTGGATCTTCTTGGCCGAGCAGGATTGCTGGAAGAGGCAAAAGAAGTGATTGGGATGATGCCATTTAGCCCTGATGCTGCTATGTGGAGATCATTACTGACTGCTTGCTTAGTCCATGAGAATTTGAAATTGGCTCAAATAGCAGGAAAGAAGTTAATTGAACTTGAACCAAATGATGATGGTGTTTATATGCTTCTGTGGAATATGTATTGTGTTGCTGATATGTGGAAAGAAGCCTCGGAGATAAGGAAATTTATGAGGGAAAGGAGGGTCAGAAAAAATCCTGGTCGTAGTATGGTTGATGTGAACGGTGTTGTTAAAGAATTCTTTGCCAAAGACTCTTCACTCCATGTTAGTGCAGAGCTTTGCCACTTGCTAAAAGGAATGAAGGAGCACTCAGAAACATATAATTTTTAACACTTGTGGTGCTCATAAACATATAATTTTTAACAACACTTGTGGTGTGGAGGCCTTTGCTATTGAAGCAAATGACAGAAAAGGAAACCAAGGAACTACAATTTCTGCAGTCATTTCATTCTTTTGATCCAGGAGAGATTCGGAGATTTCAGTCAGCCAAAAGTCTGAACGATTTATCTTTGTGATGAATAAAGAGACATGTTTCCAATCTAGAATATTAATAATGTTTATGTATTTACTTGTAAGAAAAATCTTGAAGTGTATATTTTCCTTGTATCTGATCTGATCATGCATATTTGATTATTTATACCGTCATATCTCATTCCATGTACAATATATAGCAGGTGGAATTTCTGTTTTACCTTTCTGATGGTTTGTGATTACTGTTGTATTAAAAAGATAACTAGTTGCTACCCTTTTTTGGTTACGCACTAGTTACGACTTGATTATTCCTTTTCAACTATGTCTTGCTTTATGCTTCATAAATCTGTAATTGGTTTACCAATTTTGAAGATTCATTGGGTTATACCCTGTATTTTGATGGTTTGGAGTCGATCTTTGTGTTGATCTCTTTTTCTTTTCTTAAAAATATTTAGATATCAGAACTCGAAACGAGCAATACAATACTCAGCATTATATAGTAACTCTACTAATATATGGATCTTGATACAATCCACCAGACTTGAAGACAATAAGTATGACCATTAGCATGTTAGTCATTATGATGGCATTTAGGCACGTCACTTATGATTAATGAAATTCACCTTTTTAAAATGAATCAATAGATGAAACAATTATGTGTGTAACAAATCATTACTACAAGAAACTTAAGAATACAAACTTATATAGAGGGCTTAGATTATGTGAATTCGTATATGAAGATCCTTTGCCCGAAGATAAAAAATGTATAAGAAAAAAATCCATAAATTTAATGTCTTAATATTTTAAGTTAAAAATGATGTCAATCCATTCCTTATATTATGGATTGCACTCAAGTCACATTTATAAAAAAATTTCCTAATAGATTTATAAGAGATATCAGAGTCCTAGGTTCATCTTATTGACTAATTTAAATAATTGTAACAACAACAATATAACATAACAACACTATAACCATACTAATAGAATAAAGGTCATCACACACCTGAGGAGAAATATACTATACGAAAAGAGACTCACTTTTGAAGAAAGATGATTGAGAATAATCTAAGTGACTTTAAGTCACACGTTAAATAACAAAATTACATATAATATAAAAAAATCCATAAACTCAATCTTCGATATTATAAGTAAAAGTGATGTTAATATCTCGTTTAAAAATTTCAAAAAATAGCTTTGGACAATAGCTGTGCAGTTTTAGTATTACTTCAAATAAGAACCACCAACATGAATAATATATAAGAATAAACACTTACAAGTTTATTATTTTAGAATTTTAAGCTAGATGTGATGCTTTAATTTCTTGTATAATTTACTCCTATCTGATTGCTGTAGATGACCGATTTTCAATGTGCTCAAACGTGATCAAATATTTTTATTAAAATATTATAGGTATCTTCGGTTTGTAGTTACTATATTATTTAAAGTTGTTGACCGAGTGTGCTGCTCCATAGTTTTTAATTACCACTATCTACCTATCAACTATCTATATAAGAAAACAATATCTTGATAATTATAAAAAATATTCAGCCTAATATAATGGCACTTGTCCAATTTTTTGGTTTTTTAGTTATTTGTCATACGTAAAATACATTTTTGATTCACTCTATCTTATTGACACCTATTTCAGACAATGATTTTTTTTTAATTATTTGCATTTTTTACACAATTTACAATGTTACTCTTTCCTTAATCTTCTTGTCTTGCATTTCAATGTTATTTTTGTAATTTTGCATTGTCGCTTCTTTCTCGTTTGCTTGACAGACATACAAAGAATGGATTGATAGATATATGTCACTTAAATTTCTCACTTCTCTTCTACTTCATCAAAGATGACTATTTGTTTGAACCTTAGTTCTTTTTTAACCTACATTATTTTCTCAGTCCCTCATTTTCTTATTCAAGTACCATCACTTTGAAGTTTAGGTGTTGTTGAACCTACATTACTTAGTTCT